TTTGTTAACATGCCTACATGGTAATAACAGCAACTCGGTGATTAAAAAGTTGCTCGTCTGCCAAGTGGCAAACGTTTTTGCTTACTGAGCAGAAGACCGTGGGTTCAATCCCAAGCTCCTTCGCATTATATGATTGTTAGGACATCAATTCAGCTTATCGTTTACCAAAACGAACCCTGCTGCAAACCCAACCCTATTACCCAATATCCCAGTGATTCCTCGTGGAAGTGCAGAGGTGTTCTCGGCTTCCATCAAAGCGAGTGTCACGTCAACACATTCCTACCCCTTCCTTTCTTGACCTGTGTTCGGGCGCGGCCGGCGCTGGTATTGCCTAGTTTGAGATCACCAGTTTTAACACATTGAGGATGATTGCTAGTCCCAAGCATCGTCTATTGGTTCTCTGTGTAATTACAGCTGGTCTGGCAATAACAGAGTAGCAACCGTGGGCGGTCAATCATGCCCATGCTCATGCTAAAATCAGATAATACTGATTTCTCTTTACTTTGTGCAAGGTTCTAGGCAATTGCACCTAGGTAGTGATTCTGCTAGAGTCACAAAATCGATCTTTGCCAAGCTTCTGAAAACGACTCTGGACAATTTCACAAAATCAAAAGACTGTTTGAAAAAGACATCTAACATTTGTGGACTCTGTCCCTGGGACGTCAATATGATCGATTTCAGTTCCTTGCCTACGAACACTTTAAAAACACTTGAAAATCCTACCGAATGCGTAGGAGTGGATGAAACAACTGAAAATGCATCAAGTCAAACTATTGAGCATGACTATCAACTTCAACTGAAATACATCGAACTGGGATTGAATTTCGATCAACTGTCGAGATTTTTGAACAACAAGCAGAAAGATTTTTGGTATGGGCCACTCGAAGATCTCGCTTTGTTCGATTTCGGAAACTTAATTAAGGACGAAGCTGAAGGACTATTTTTTACAGAACCGCTTCAACAATTTCAAAGTATTACCGATAATGGTGAATGCTTACCAGAAGCAGATCGTGAAGTAAACAAAGGTAAGAGATTATTTTAAAATATAATGATTCATTTAACTCTCTTATATCTTGTATCAACATTATTCTGACATGCCGTACTCTAACGGAACTATCAACTCTATGCTTTCATCTACTCCATCTATCGTATAAAAATTACCACTACAGTCTGTTATTTGAAATTAGTATCTTCAACTATTATTCTGACATTGGGGTTAACTCCACAAGCGATGGTGAGGTTTGCGTTGTAATACCCCATGAAACTTCTGGTGCCTACTCTGGTAAGGGACTTGTGGTAAACTTGTATGATCTGTATGCTTACACTTTTTCTCATACTCAAATTCAGAAACAGATTCTCTAAACCCTATCCAAAGGCACGATTTGACAGAAAGTGCGGAAACTTCAATTGCATCCAGTTCAAACTCAAATGATCCATTTGAAGATATACTATACAGTTCGAAAAAGTAGTGTAAATTTCTGTTCAGTATGATACACATAAATGGAGCGTCACATATCATATAAGTTTACATTATAGGGGAAATGGATCTAATGTCGGCCTAAATGCCCCTAATTTGGGCCCATACATAAATTAAGCAATCGACTAAATTTTCAATAGCGACCAAAAATATCCATTAGTACCGTCCCAATTACGCGTTCATCAAGATAAAATTGATAAATAGCTGATTTTTATCGATGGGCCCAATCTTAGATCCATAGGCCAACATTAGAGCCATTTCTTCTATATCATGTAAAGTTCTGAGACATTTCATGCAATGAAGCAAATATTGCAAACAACATTGTTTACAAGTTGCTCGGTTCCGTGAAATGAAATATAAGTTTACGTGAATGAATGTTTACTTCACTATTAATCTGACCGCGAGTTGCACCCACTGATCCAAACCAACGGAAACGTCGTATGTCATCACACATGATCCTATTATAGTCGCTATATTTATAGTCTGGCGGATAGAATCTCGGTAATGAATTCAGCTGCACAGTTTGAAAAAGTAGATTAAATTTCTGATACTATGAGGCACATAAATGGTGGGCGTTGGCCAAATTTGGATTTTTCAGATATAATCTTAAATAGGACCTAGATTATTTAATACTCTAGTAACCTCAAGTCCGTGCTCTGTCACAATGTTTCATTGTGATTAATCAACACTCAAAGGGGTAAAATCTAAAATTTGGGGTAAATTTGAAAAAAAGGGAACTTGGAGTGTAGAGCGCACTGCCCACTGGACGATTCTGAAGCCTGGCCAAGTGAGTGGGGTATGGGTTTATTTGATTGAACGTCATTTCCAATGTATATACTCAAATCATTGGTATTTGAGATAAGACTAAGATAGGATGCGGAGGGCACGCTTAGGAGGAGCGTAACCCATGTTATGGTTTCCATTTATTAAATAGTTCAGATAGGCTAGAAATGACAGGATTATAGTGAGAGAATATACTATATTGGGAAAGCATAATTTTCATAGGGTTCAGAGCGGCTGAGCTGTTCGTTTGTAGTTTGACCTTCCTTCAAAACCAATTTGGCTCTAGAACAATTTTAAACTTGTTCTGCATTATTCACATGTTGCAATTATTGAAAAGAGCTCGATATAAGATCGCCACAGAGAACAGACGTTGAGGCTCCAAAAATTTCTCTAAAAACTTGTGTAAAGATTCCTATTCAACTAAAGCGCCACTAACGTCGACTTCCCCACTTAAAAACCCTCTTTGACAACATGAAGGCGCTGGCGTTGCAAAACTTACACTAGACACTAAGTGCTGGTAGCGCCAAGTGGCAATTTTCAGAAGATAATTTATCGATACTAGCGCCAAATGGGTTGAAATTGAAAGTGATAAATTTATAGACGAAATCAGGAGATGCTAGCGCTACGTAACGGCAACGTTTCCACTTAACTTTACTCATGTTTCTGACCGAACATGGACGTCTGGTCTCTGTGAGATAGCTTAATACAGTTAAATAGAAATGCCAAAATCTTACCGAGTAGTTTAGCTGTTCTGATTTGGTACAGTTTGTTGAGGTCGGGTATAGTTTCTGAGTATGGATGCCCATTTTGAAATATTCATATTAGCACAGAGTAATAGTTTTATTGCTAGGGAACTTTCTTTTGGGATCGTCTTTTCTTCATACAATTCTCATTATTCATACTATATTAATCATGATCAGTCTTAGAAAATGTTATATGTTTAAGCCCCGTTCTAGATTTCTTTGTTATTCATATCTATGCATTGCAGCTCGCGAGAGGTTACCAAATATGGGTTCTTTTTCTCATCCACAATAGTTTGGGGGGAGGGGGCGATCTGAGAGCAGAATAGAGGCAAATAAAATAGGGAACACAACACCATGACCCAAATGACTAACCAACGCATGTGTGAGCCGCTTGTTCTATTTCTATCTTCCCCTCATGTACCAATATTACCTACCTGAGAACAAATGGGAACACGGCCAGATTTTTAATAGGAAGAAGGAAAAAAAGCGTGAAAACGTAAGAGAGTAAGCAGTCAGAAAGGATTAAGCCATTTGGAAACAGCCATTTTATACTGGACGGAACTGGTTAGTAGGATAAAATTGTAAAAGGTGTGTGCTTGCATGATTTACCTATAAGCCACATGAGAACCTCATTTCCTTCAATTAGGTACTATTCCATCGCAGCACACACCCAATAATGATCACTAACATTCATATAGTTTCAGCATTATCGACATTTATGATCAAAAAGTGAGTTGTAAAGCATAATTACCATGCATAGATATAAGTTAATGTACCAGAACCTGGACGGACACGAGCCTACCCAGGGGAGGACCCGGATATGACCACCCATGTGTGTCTAGAGTATCGCACGAGCTGACGAGTGCAACGGGAAGGACAGTAGGTGTGTAGACTAGGGGGTTAGTCCCTAGATAAGCTAACTTAGCGGTTGGCACAGCCTATACACTGAACAATTACAATTCTAGTAGGCACATAAATGAAGCGTCATATATCATACAAGTTTATATTATAGATGGTGTAAATTTATGACACATATCATGAGATATTTCATAAATTGTATGCAACCGTCATCCTTTGTGAGCAACATTTCTTGCAAGTAGCAGATTTACGTGAAAAGGAAGTTTGCATGCATGAATGTTTGCATGCATGGATATTTACATCATCAGTAAAATTAAAAAAAAAAATCTGTTTGTAAAATAGTGGAACCAAACGACCAACAACAGAAGAGAGCACATCAACTTTTGCGAACAAAACTTCGAAATCCCTTTTCTCGTGACTCAAGGCTCGTCTTCGCAAACCAACACCATCTTTGGGTTGGGGAAAGTTTCCTCTATTCGATGATGCTGTTAATTTGTATTCGGCGGCGAGGAAGATTTATCAAATTGTTGTTAAAAAAATGATATAAAAGTTGACAATGCCTTTTCAATTGTTGGTCTACAACAATTTTAATTGGTTCCGGTTTTTCATCGATTGACATTCTATCCGCCAGACTATAAATATAGCGACTATAATTCCTATCGCTGGCTACCAGTGACTACAATGGTATAAGAAAAATGATTTTGAAAAGGAAGAAATCGAAGATGTCAAGAAAGCAAGGATCGAGGAACGTAAAATTCTGAAACAAAAAAGAGGTTAAGATAAGCTTCTAAAAAGTGCTCTTAAGAAAGAAAAACAAAATCAAAATAAGAAAAAAGCAACACAAAGAGTAGCCAGAAAACCCAAGGTCAATAATGAGAAGTGAGACAGATTTTTTTTTTTTTTTGCAATGTCATAATTATAATGAGGTCTGTGTAGTAGATCAGTTGAGGAAAATAATTTTCATTTATTGATCCATAATATGATGCAAATTGATGCCTAATTGTGACCTCTCCCAAAAGTGATCCATAGTAGTTCGTAAATTCCACTCCTTAGGGACGGTTCACAGTCTCACACTGCAGCTTTCATCCAATGGCTTTCTCAACTTTTCTACCACAATCAAGCAAAACCCCTGGTTCCACTTATTGTTTCAGATGTGTTTTACTCGCTTTTCACGGGTTTGCAATTTCAATATTTTGGAACAATGGTTTTCCTATAATTAATTAATTAATTAATTACTTGTAGTCACATTTGAATGAATTTACGTTACGTTAATATTTACACGAGAGATACGGGAGCTAATGTCTTATGTTTTTTTCCTTACGATTAGGCTGGCAAACCTTCGCTCGGGTTCGATTCCGCCACGAACGAAAATTTGCCGGCGAAAATTGTCTTGTTCTATTGACTTACGTTTTCGGGGTTGTCCCTTTGTTTAACATCACTAACGACCAACCTTTGCCTCTAATTGAGTTAGCTTTTTTTAGATCCTCTTCGTGCTTAGGATCATGTACCGAAATAAAAAGAAACGCGTTCTTTGATTAACTTTTTGCTTTCGATATTGGCTAGAACTTGAAGAAGAGAGAGTGCTTTCATATTTGGAACGTGTTGTTGGTTGGCTCACACCGGCCGAGAGGGTGCTTTCCGGTTCGGCGGTGGGGGCGGCGGAGCCCTCATCCGACTTGCCTGAGATGAACTAAGCACCGAGGCGGCGGCCACCGATTCGATTAGGTTGTGACCGCCGGACAGGAGGTGCCCACCTACGCCGACCGTCTGCGTGTTGGACGAATCATCTTCGTCGTCGTCATCCGATGAAACCGAATTGACGTCCGAGTTGGACGGCGTTGGCGAGGGTGGCGAGAGGGTTTCCTGCTCCTGCATCATCGTGCGGAATTCCTGAATCGATTCGTTCAGGGCCCACAGCTGCGAGAGGAGTGACAGATCCAGCTGTCGCAAACCGTACTGCAAATAGAGAGAGAGAGAGAGAGGGAAAACAAAGAAGATTAGCTTAATGTCTTAACAATGCTTATTTACAACTTAATCAGCTACCGTTCGTTCAAGCTGGACGGTGTTGACAGTATAAGAACCATGTTATTACTCGAGATGACGGAAGATGTGCACGGTGGCACACCATAGTTTACAGCAGTTTAATCGTTCCGTGGTACAAAAATAGCCATTAAACCTCATTTCCACGCTTCTATGATGAGGTTATTTCACCGCAATTATCTCCCATGGGTGGCTGGCCATACACATACCCGGGTGTCAAGAAAACAAAACAAGAATGCTTTTGTCGGAAGGTTCCCACCGCAACCGTTCCACTGCATATGGCATATGGATCAAAAACACAGCAGTTCGAGGACCGAAACAAAAACATGGTTGAAATCAATTAAAAATCCGAGGCGTTTACCACCAGAGGAAGGAAATGGCATCAAGAAGTCACCGACGACGACGGCGGCGGTTGTCGACCGTGATTGCCACTCGCTCGCGGGAGAGTTAATTGACATCACAAACCCGCCGGCCTGGCTGGGCAGCTAGAAGTTCCCACCAGAGGAGAGGGTGGTTCTAGCTGGGTGAGCTGAGTGCTCTAAACGAGTCGCATGAGTAACACGAGACATAAATCTGACACGAACAGATCGGTGCACATCATGGAGAATAATTGCGTTTTAATGTCGCGAAATGGGCGGAAAATAATTCTGCTTTGGATGAGGGAAGGGGATATAGGAAGGGGATGAGGAATGAATCAATTATGAACTGAGGTGACAGGAAGTAGCGTAACGGTACAGTAGCTGGCTGGATTTATTATTTTCAAATTTAGATTACATTCAACGTTGGGAATATGTGTTAGTTCAACCACATGTATGACACAAACAAAAAAGTTTTTGTTATTATTTGATTTCATTTCATTTGTTTGTATATCTGACGTTTGGATTAAAATCTTATCTGATTTTATGTACATTTAACATTTATTACATTCAACCTTATCTTCCAGCAGACGCTCTGGACAGCAATTTTACCATTTATTAAAAAAGATCTACATTTGCCAGCAACACTGACTGGTTGTATTCTACCCAAGTAACAATTTTGGTTTTATGAGGGTTCTGTAGATCATGATTTGGACTTGTAGAATGCTATAAAACCTATATAAAGCTTAATAGTTTTGAATTCATACCACCTACGATATTGTATAACTTGTTCGATGCTAATGCTAATGCTAATGTTTCCCGTTGACCATATTACATAATCTGTACATGCGGTGATTTATAACAGATTTCGTTTATCTTCGAGCATAAGCTTCTTTATCTTCTTTGGCTTTATTACGTCCTCACTGGGACTTTACGCTGGCTCTCAACTTAGTGTTGTTTGAGCATTTCCACAGTTGTTAATTGAGAGCTGTCTAAAGTTGTACCATTTTTGCATTAGTATATATTGAGGGGCAAAGTACAATCATACTCGATGTCCAGTTGCTACTGCGTTATTGCAAAGATCAGTTGTAATTGCACAGAGAACCAATTTATGGCACTTAGGACTAGCGTTCATCCTCAATGTGAAAATGCTGGTAATATAATGTATTTTGTGCAATCTCAGCGCCGAACACGTCCGAAAGCAGATCAATTAGGGGAAGGGGAAAACAATTGATAGCGTGATACTCCTTTTATTGAAAGCCAAGGGGACCTCTGCACTTCCACGCATCACAGAAAAGAATGCGGTCAGGTAATGAGTAAGGCGTCGCCTTAGTAAATATTTTGTTGAAACAAGTGGTTGTATATTGATGAAAAAAATATCAATGCGGCCCTATTACATATATATGCATTAAATAACTGAGGAAAAGGGGGTTGGGATAGAACTTAAGATCTTCTGCTCAGTAAGCAAAACCGGTCACAGCTAGACCACCGAACCCCACAACAAACCAGACTACTCAAATAAAAAGACTTCTCCAGAAGGAGTAAACTATTATCTCGATCGAGCATACGTCACATTTTGATGTTAAAGTACTGACGAAAACATGGAGTTATTTACCTATCACATAATCTTCTTTCCTTTATTTAACGTCGGTCTCTGTTCAGCAATCAAGTGCCAATCACCGAAGGACATCGATTGCCATCCATTGACAGCAATCGAATGTGCAGGAAGGCAGCTTCCACACCTGCGTAGGATATCGCACCCATTCAACAACACACATGGGCCGGGACCAACGGCTCCCTTCCGAAGGAAGACGTGACCAGAGATTTTTATGCCTCAGAAAAATCCCACCGACCTTGGCTGGGATTGAATCCCGACCCATTGTGGTGAGAAAGCAGTGACGCTTACCACTACACCACCGGCGCCAGCTATCCTATAACCTAATCGCAAGCATAATTTACATAGCATGAACAACCATATCCAGGGTGTCCATTCAAATCCAATTTTTCAATTCCCGGTTTTTCCTGGTTATTTAATAACAAACCAAACTCAAACATTCCCCCGGCCTTAAACAACAAAGGCGTCCACAAATAACCATTTACAGATAATCATATAGCTTTTTGAGCGGAATTGTTCTATAATACGTCTACTTTGTAGAAAAAAATATGAGATGAGATTTGCATTAATATGTTGATAGTCTAGATCTCCAAAATCTCATGGAATCATGAATTCGAATAACATCAAAGACTTTCACTGCAAAAATGAGCGTAAATCTTGTCGGAAAAAGCATATATCAATACAAGAGACCTGAGCAGGAAGAACGCAGTATAAAAAGTTCTTCAAATATTCCTGGAGTTTAGATCTTGAAGTTCTACCAAAATGTTTATCATTCTCCAAATTGTCCTGGCGATATTTTACATGTTAATCGAAATCTTGTTCAAAGTAAACTCAGAATTCTTGAGCCTTTTTTTGTGCTTCACTCATAACATCATTTTAAATTATTAATTGTGTTTAAAAATAACATTGTTGGATTATCCAAATCATCCCGGGTGTCGACTCAACGAAGAAAACTAAATTTCCTGATATTCCCTGATGTTCCAGTCGTTTTCAGAAAAGGTCACTCACATTATCCTAAATTTACAAATTTTGGACGGTTTAATCATAACAACATGCATTTTCATCGCTAGCCAGAATGTGTTCAACAAGTTTATGGTCCCCTTATTTCCTTTTTTTAATGTTTATTATAGAGATTTTAAGCCGTAGGCTAGCTCATCTCTTCCCCTTATTTCCTCAATTTACTCCGTTTCCACTCCTCGGCGTGTTAATACTTATTTTTCTGACTGTTTTTGGACTTTCCGTTAGGAATATTTCCACATATGAAACACTTTAATCCCCCGTTACAAATATATTCCCCGTGCACACTTCAATGCCCCTCTCATCTCCTTTGAACATTTGTTATGGATAACACGTTTAACCAAACGCTTGATCGCAGCGGGATATCTCCGGTGGGAAATCATTCACAAGCAAATATTGCACATCCCAGACCAAGTAACATTGTAAGTTTTATTGAGGTTTAAAAACACTATACAAGTTCAAATCATGGTCTACAGAACCCTCATAAAACCCTAATTGTTACTTGGGAGGTAACCAATAAACCCGCCAATATGGATTGATTTTGCTACATAAAGCTAACATACGATAAATACTACCCCGTTACGTGAGTACACAGCAAAAAAAGTTGTTGAATATTACATCGAAACTGCTGCAACCAGGTCAATCCATCGGTTGTGTAATATCACATTGTACGATGTACATCGATTTTGCGAACAAAATTACATCCATTGATGTAATATTGTATCTGCTTTTTGCTATTACAGCATTATTTCATACATCAGCTTGAATTACGTTGATCGATATTACATTTTTTTTTTTGCTGTGTAGATCACCTTTTTGAGGTACGTTACGGGATGTAAGATCTTCCACCGATTCCTAGTCTTGACTACTTCAAACTAGGAGAACAGGATTTTTCAATAATCAAAGGAACACATCTTAGTCCTTGTTACTCGTGATGCCTTGTTGATAGTGACAAGACTCGGATTTGTCCACCGAGGATGATCTTGAAACAAGGAAAAAATGAGTTAGTTAGTCTTAATCTATGTGTTTCCTAATCTTCTATTCGTTGTTCCATAGTTTGAGCATGAGCATGAGCATGATTGACCGCCCACGGTTGCTACTCTGTTATTGCCAGACCAGCTGTAATTACACAGAGAACCAATAGACGATGCTTGGGACTAGCAATCATCCTCAATGTGTAAAAACTGGTGATCTCAAACTAGGCAATACCAGCGCCGGCCGCGCCCGAACACAGGTCAAGAAAGAAAGGGGTAGGAATGTGTTGACGTGACACTCGCTTTGATGGAAGCCGAGAACACCTCTGCACTTCTACGAGGAATCACGGGGATATTCGGTAATAGGGTTGGGTTTGCAGCAGGGTTCGTTTTGGTAAACGATAAGCTGAATTGATGTCCTAACAATCATATAACGCGAAGGAGCTTGGGATTGAACCCACGGTATTCTGCTCAGTAAGCAAAAACGTTTGCCACTTGGCAGACGAGCTCCTTTTTAATCATCGAGTTGCTGTTATTACCATGTAGTCATGTTAACAAATAAAACGATTGACGAATATTGAATGTGGATCGGCTTGAGATTAGACTCATGATGTTCTGCTCAGTAAGCAAAACTGGTTGCTCTAAGGCCACCGAGTCCCTTATATCACATTATAGCGTTACTCAAGTTTTTATAACTATTCAAACCCGGCACCGACGACAACGAAAAGTTTTACAAAATACACGATAAACAAGCGATCTTACCATACGAAAATTAGATCAAAAACCCTATATAACATGGCGTCGGTAGCATTGGTGCTCAGTACGGAAAACAAGATCGACGGAAAACAAATCAAGGCAAAAAAAGAGACCAAATTATGGCCTACAAGACTATGATAAAACCAAAATAGTTACTCGGGATGAGTATAGGAGACATTGCTCTAATGTTGGCTTATG